TTTTAGATAGGAAAACAAGGGTTATAAGAGAAATATGTTTTCCTTTCCAAGTGCTTCATTTCGAGGCGACACGAGCACTTTCCCGGCGTTTCCTCCCACCTCTTGGAAAATCGCAATTTTTTCTATGGATTCTCGTGATTTCCTTTGCCCCAAAATGCCCCTAGGGCTATTCTATATTTACTACGAATATGACCCAATGACTTCAACTTAATGCTTCTGATCAAACGCTTATGTAAATGACACATGGAATATAAGGCACTTCTTTATAGAGAGAGAGAGAGAGAGAGAGAGAGAGAGAGAGAGAGAGAGAGAGAAAATCCGAGAAAAAATGGAAATAAGCATCGATTTTTCAAATGCTTGATCCACTAAGATTTTTATGGTTTTGCGCTTGGGATTTGTTGTCCAATTACGTATATCCTTATCTTCTGGGCAGTCATTCTTAGTAATTTATGCACTTCTTCAAAACTTTCGAAGTTTCCCAAAACTGTAAGCCCCAAAACCGAAAATAAAAACTAATAATAATAAGAATTTAGGTCCATCTCTTGTAGCTACAAGCAGGTAAATTCCTTGAACACCTTCGGAGTGCAAGGACCTAAAAAGACCATGTCGGGATTGAAGTTTGATTTTAAGGTTAAATTCAGTGGTTTCAGATCCAAATGAAACGTTTGACGCCATTATATATATATATATATATATATCTTTTTCCCTATATTTTTTAACATTTTTAAGGACAGTTTGATTAGAATTGGGTTGCTAATTTTTTTTTCCGCCTCCTATGCTCCAACTATATGTTAATTTAAGATTACTGGAGTTCATTTTCCTTTAAAAAAGAGAAAAAAATCTCCATCTTCACTATGATATTATTATCATCAATAGCCAAGAGAGAAACACATAATATTTCTTGCTTCTTCCAAGAGTATAAGTTCATATTATGGAAAATAATTATATACAGTCAAAATTTCCAAAATGTAACGAAAGCCAAGGTAGAAAAATGAAACAAGACAAGGTGTAAAAAAAAATATATGTGCTTGGATGATAAAAAGGCATAAAGGGTATAATTGTAAAGATACCGAATATGGATAGATAGGTGGGGATCGCGGTCGTAGAGTGGTCAAAGTGTCTTCTTTTTGTGTTTCTTTGTCGAAGGGCATGCAAACCGGATAATTGGCCCGTCTGGCTTCAACTTTCAAACCCTAAAGAGAGACAAAAAAACAAAAAAAAACCAAGAGGTTTATGAACAAGACTGACACGTGGCGGTCACATTCCTTTGAATTTGGTCACAAAACCTGAAACGGCGTGAGAGCCTGAATTTATGAGAGTTTACCACAAATGACCAGTGGCGATTTAATCCTTTAATAATAATTATCACCCAATATTTCTTGTATTTTTCCCTTCCGATATATTAAACCACATTTCTCAATAAGCAAAAACGCATCTAACGGGGAGATATTCAGAGAGATTCTTGTAATATGTTGAACAATACTTATATATATACAACACTCTAATAGTGAGTTCGTTGTATTTTCTCCGCATTTTTCTTTTTGTTTCAACTTGTTCTTATTAAAGTTGAACTTTTTCGTTTTTGTTTTGTTTTGCCTTTTTTTTTTCCTTCCAAAAATAAGTTGAAGGGAGTACTACACTGATAGGATTCCAAAACTTTTGTTTTCCCCTTAGATGTATTTGAACATATGAGAGTTTTTTTGGTTTATATTTGATTGGTTTTTTCAGTTTCCCCCATTTTTCTTTTCGTTTCAAGTTGTAAGAGTTAGTTTTTTTTTTCATTTTTTTATTTTTGATGAATAGGTGTAAGAGAGGTTGAAGAAAGCGTCGAGAGACGAGGGTTTTGCCTCCTTATTGTGGTGCACATCAGTCAAAGGAGCCTTATATTTATGCACTGGAATTTGGCGGGAACCGTGTCATCAACAATTGCAGGTGATGATTTTTCTTTCATATAATGAACTGGTTTATATATATGTATAATATATATATACGAACAGTATATTATTTTTATTATTTCGATAAATAGCGGGACCAATTTTAAACTAATCTGTTTAATTACTGGGTACTCTTTGAGAGGCTGGAAACTTTGAACAGTGAAGTTGGTACGTAAAGAATAAGAAAAAATAGATATATGTCAAGTACCAAAAAATAATAGATATATAGAACCAAGTTGGTGGAGTAACCAAATAAAATTTTCTATCATCCAAAAAACTTGCAGCTTAACAGTTCGGAAATCTACTTATTTTTATTTGGGATACTAAAACTTGTTGTTGAACGTACACGATTCGTGGTTATCATGTGTAGATATAAGGGAATCTGTAATATATATAATTAAGTATATGAGAAGAATCTAGAATATGTATAAACATATATATAGAGACCTTCCTTATATCTTTACTCTTAAAATTTTCTACAATCAAAAACAAAAATGATCATGACAAACAAATCGCAAAAAGTCTGAATATATCGTATCATCCATTACAAAAAGAGACTGTAAAATGCTATTATACCTTTTGTCAGAATGTTTTAACGAGTACGTAGTGAGGGTCAGAATTAATATTATATATTTGTGTGTGTATATTGTCACATTCATGTAATTCATTAATCGAATACGAATCGTAGTTGGATCAGTCTTCGGTATTTAATGGTTAAGATTATTTTAAATGTTTTTAAATTTGCCAAACTGGCTGACACAAGGCACAATACAAGCTTCTAATGCAATAGGACATGAATTAGAGCATTTTTAATTTTCACCCGTTTCTACCTTTTGACGGGGGTGCGAAAACCAACTAGGTGGTCAACAGATTTCTACTTGGGGAACCAAAATAAATCTTTCAATCTTTCTTAATTTCTATTTGAGATCCGTTATTATATTGTGGATTTGTGGTGGGGTGCTTGGTGTTATATTTTGAAAAATGAGTGATCCTCACTCTTTCGCCACTACTACTAAGCTATATATAGTAAAATTTAATATGTCGGATTTTTGCACTAAACTATTGCATGTCCGTACACCCACATCTTTAACACATGCAGGACTCGGGGATCCACAAATTGGGTTTCTTTGGTGAGTCCCCCGTTTCGGAAGATCTTCTCTGATTTGTGGGTTTGATCGTCTGATCTTTCTCTCTCTCTCTCTCTCTCTCTCTCTCTCTCTCTCTCTATACATATTTATATATATATATATGAATATTATCTCACTTCTTTAGATATGCAAATATATATAAAGGTAGGAGAGAGAAAGAGAGAGATGGTATATAATTAACTTTACGTAGAGTGTCGATTTTTAAGACTGAGAGATGATTTGCAGAGTGTGGGAATGCTGGGCTTAGGGGAGTCATTTATTGCACATAACGAGGACGAGAGTTCCAACAAACCAAGTGGGGTAGAAAGAGAGAGAGAGAGAGAGATAAGAAAGAGAGAGAGAGAGAGAGGTTTGGATTTTACCAGTTGGAATTGTGGGTTTGTCTTAGTACAAAAAGACTGAAGGACCTCACTATATAGTTTAGTATGACACTGGGTCCCTTATATATGTATAAAAACTAATATCATACCGAAGAGATAAATATAATAATATCATCCTATTGTTATTATTATATATCAGCATATTTTGGTGTAACTTAGTGGTCAATTAGTAGTGTTGGAATGAATGATGCCGTGGATAGAGCCAGACCATCCTAAATTGACCTCTGCAAAAGGGGTTGCAACTTTTGTATGCATGTCAAATTAAGAGAGAGATATTAACGAGTCATATATCATGTGCTTAAATATATATATATATATATATAGCTTGATCTCTTTCTCAATGTTTTCTCTTTTCAGTCTCGGCCTCTCTTCTCTGAAACACATTCTTCTGCAACCTGCATAAACAAAACATTTACAGAGAGAAAAGGAGCTAGCCAGACAGAAGGCGATCGCGAGAGAGAAAGAGAATAACTAGTACTCCTTTTTTTTTTTTTATTGTTTTTCCTATGATGAACTTTTCTGATTTTACTCAGAATATCAATTTTTGTTGTCAACTAATATATAAATTAGTACTTTGGCTTCATTTGCAGGTAGCTTTTGATTCATTGACTACCAGAGAGTTAAATTGAAAAACGGGCTCCATGAATTCGAACAACTGGCTTTCATTTCCTCTTTCTCCTACTCACGCCTCTTTACCACCCCATCTTCACTCATCCCAGGCTCACCAATTTTCTCTAGGGTTAGTGAATGACAACATGGATAACATGAATCCCTTCCAAAACCAAGGTATTTATACGTATTTTATCTTCTTCTTCATATACACATATATATTCTTCATATATCATCACGTTCTCTCTCTCTCTCTCTGTCTAAATATATATATATATATATATATATGTATATGTATATGTATATCTCTCTCTCTCTCTCTCTCTCTGTCTATATATATATATATATATATATATATGTATATGTATATGTATATACTAATATTTTTGAACTTACAGAGTGGAATCTGATTAATAGCCACGGAAGCAGTGAAGTCCCAAAGGTGGCTGATTTCCTTGGCGTGAGCAAATCAGAAAACCAGGCGGATCTAGTGGCCTACAACGAAATTGATCAGGCAAATCATGATTCTGATTATCTTTTCCCAAACAACATGAGTTTAGTCCCGGTAGTGCAGCAAAGTAGTGCTCTTGCAGCCGCCTCTAGCAGTGCTAATTACGATCTTCAAGAAAATCCCACCAATAATCTTCAGTCATTGACACTGTCCATGGGCAGTAGTGGCAAAAGCTCAACCTGCGAAACTAGCGGAGATAATAGCACTAATACAGTGCAGGAATCGGTTCCAAGAAGGACTTTGGACACGTTTGGACAAAGAACTTCAATTTATCGCGGTGTCACACGGTGATGATCATCATCAGCAATTAGATAATATAAGTTTTTCTCTTTTTAAATTTATAATACTGTTATTAATTTTGTTTATTGCGTATTTTGGGGAAATGTAGGCATAGATGGACAGGAAGGTATGAAGCTCATCTTTGGGACAATAGTTGTAGAAGGGAAGGGCAATCAAGGAAAGGCCGACAAGGTGAACTTTTACAATTTCTTTTACTAGGGTTTTTTCGTTTATAATGGCTACTATAATACATAAATATATATAACATCATCTTAAATGTTACTAACTACATATTTTGCTTCATCATATCATCATGGACTTTTTCCGTCTCTGCCTGGTGTCTCTTGTAGTTTATCTGGGTAAGCACAACATCTAGTTTCAATCATATTTGTTTGCAGTTCGTTGGTTTTGAAATGTTTAATTTGTTGGTCAATTTAAGGTTGCTATAAACCGCATATAATACTGCTAAATATTTGTACTCAACCAGGAGGGTATGATAAAGAAGAGAAAGCAGCTAGGGCATACGATTTGGCTGCACTAAAGTACTGGGGAACATCCACTACTACCAATTTTCCAGTAAGCTTAATTTTCTGATCATACTTTGATTCCTGAGTCAAATGGCAATAAATATGTCCTAATAAGCAATGCATTTAATTATCATATAATAGATCAGCAACTATGAGAAGGAGTTGGAGGAGATGAAGCACATGACCAGACAAGAATTTGTGGCCTCCATTAGAAGGTAATTAGTTGTTAGATTTGTTCTTTACTATATTAAATTAAATTTAGAGAGTTGCCCAATATTTGATTTAAATTTTGTGTAATCATTAGGATTAATTCTAATTATTTTGCCTCTATCCTGGTGACAAATTTCAGGAAGAGCAGTGGCTTTTCAAGAGGTGCATCAATGTATCGTGGAGTGACAAGGTACTAATTATTTGCCACTTATTTCTCTTTTATCTCTCTCTGATCATATATATATATATATATATATAACACGGAAGATGGCAAGCAAGGATTGGAAGAGTCGCAGGAAACAAAGATCTTTACCTGGGAACTTTCAGTAAGTCACGTTACAAGCATATTATAATTTGTGTCGAAACAAGAAAAGGTCAATAATTACACTTATATCTAGCGAAAAGGAGAAAGGTATCAAGAAAAAGTTACTTAAACAACATTATATTTTATGATTATATTAATTAAATCAAAGCATACGCATCAAAGAATAATACTAATCAGAATTCTAATCACATTCTTCTTTTACAATGCTAATTGAATAAATTGTGTTAATTAGGTACGGAGGAGGAGGCCGCTGAAGCGTATGACATCGCGGCAATAAAGTTCCGTGGCCTAAATGCCGTGACCAACTTCGACATGAACCGATACGACGTGAAGAGCATTCTAGAAAGCAACACTCTCCCAATAGGAGGAGGAGCCGCAAAACGCCTCAAAGAAGCTCAAGCCTTGGAATCTTCTAGAAAGCGCGAAGAAATGATGGCTCTCAGCTCAACCTTCCAGTACGGAAGCTCGAGCGCCGCCTCAAATCGTCTGCAGGCCGCTGCATACCCTCTCATGCAATTCGATCCTCATCATCATCCGACTCTTCTGAGCCTCCAAAACCACCATGACAGTGTTTCTCACTACACTTCAGCCACTCAAACGACTCAAGACCCTTCGTCGTTTCACCAAAACTACATCCAAACACAGCTCCAATTGCACCAGCAACAATCCGGGACGACGTCGTATAACAACATTAATCATCATCACCAACAAGCTCTAGGCCAGAGTAGCAGTAATAACAATTCTCAGACGTTCTACAACGGCTATAATGTGCAGAACCACCCGGCGTTTCTTCAGGGGTTAATGGACAATATCAATATGGGGTCTGCTTCTAATTCTATAATTGATCATAATACTAATGGTGGTAGTACTACTGCTACTGCGGGGTATAATCTTGGGATGCCTTCTAATTCGACGACCACAGGCAATACTGCTGAGGAACTTGCTCTTGTGAAAGTGGACTACGACATGACTTCCGGGTCGGGTTACGGAGGCTGGTCGGGCGGTTCGGGCCAAGGATCAAACCCGAGTGTTTTTACTATGTGGAATGACTGATTGGATTTTTCTTAAGGTGGGTGAAGCTAACATGGTATAAGAAGCCAATTTACCATGGTTTAACCTTTTTTTTATTATTATTCTCATTTTTTTTTTTTTTTTTTTTTTTTCAATATGAGCGAAAATGCAAAACCCTAAAGGAACTACACTTTTCTTTTTCGGTATTTTTATTTTTTGGTTTTATCCAAGGACTTGCGTTAGTCTGGATAGGCATGATCAGCTAATGGGTGCAAGTAGAGGACCCAAGTTTTGTACACAGAAGACCAATGTTTAATATTGGATCTGACTGATAGCTGATATATTATTTTCGTCTATTTTTGTTACAGCATTAAACTTTGATTGTGTTATTATTATTTTTATTTTGAATAATTGATTGTGATAACTGATCGAAATTCTTAAATTGAAAAAACATCCTTATTAAATTTTTTTAAGAATGGGAATTTCTCCCGTAGGACTACGAAAATGAAACTATCGGTAGTTTCTTTTTTTCAGCTATTTTCAGCCGTCAAATCTGTATCAGAAACTGTCTATTATGTATACTTTTTCAATCTTATTTAATTTTGATTAGATTTAACGGTCAGAAAATTAGTCTTACCGGTAGGACGGTCTACCAGAGATAGTTCCTTTAAGAAATCATATAAAGAAAATTAAAAACAAAAAAAAGGGGAGAGAGATTCACTAGTTTTTTAATGAACGTTAAGACTTTCTTTTTATGTAGTTATTTTGAGGAGAATTTTTAAAAATGCCATCAATAAAACAATACTACTTTATTTCCATTACTATTAATAAATTCATCTTATGTCACTAATAACCTGTAGGTTATCTTTTCATAATATGTAAGTTATCTGTCATAACCTGTAAATTATTACTTCGCATCATGCATGTTATTTTTCATAGTAGTATCAAAATTTTGTATAGTGCAATAGTAGCATAAATAATAAAATTAGGAAAAATAATAGTTAAACTTAAAATTTTTTGATGAATGCATTAAAGGGTAAAACAGGATAAATAAATGTTATATTTAAAAAAAATATAAGATGGGAGACAATATATGGAACAAGTGTAAGGGAGGGTTTAATATCATTATTATTGTTATTATTGAGAGGTTATTATTATTATTATTATTATTATTATTTATACCATCAATTTTTTGAAGGTGATCATGTTTATCATTGTAATAACTAATAAGTAAAGAAATTTGGGAGAAAGAAGGAAATAGGCCAAGACTTGAGATGAATTAAAATTAATAGGCCAATAGTTTATATAAGTTAATAAATAGGCCAAATTACTATTTTTTGTCTGGTTATAAACTATAACTTGACAAGTTATTGTCCATAATTGTCCATAACTAGTATGACTATGAACCATAACTTAATAAATTTATTTATAATTTATTTGATTATGAACTATAATGACATATTAATTTTTATAACTAAAAATTGACCTATATACTTTCTTAAGCTTTTCATATTGGCCTATTTTTTACTATTTTTCGAGAGATTTCACAAGTAGAAAAGCTTTGGGCCAGTGGGTTGAAAGTCAGCCCAGCCCAAAATAGAATTCCATAGCCCTAGCTGACTAGCTGCACCTGGAAGGGATAACTCGTAGAAGAATCTGTCGGCTTCTATTGGGATTTTCCGAAGTCAGCATTCCTACGTGTATTTACGGTGTACGATCTCGGGCATCGCCGCTTTTGGTTAGCCCCACAAAATTACCTCTTTGTCCTTAAAAAAATCCATATGCACAAAATTTAATCCCATATTTTCTTTTAATAATAAAAAAGAAACTGAGCTGAAATCTTAAAAAATTTGACAATTTGATCTAACAATCCAAAATTACCTCGTAAATTTTAGAAGCAACGTAACCCAAAAAAAAAATTCCTTCGATACTGTAAAAAAGAAAAAAAATTTATAAGTTATTTAGATCACAAAATTTTTATTTATTTATCTCAGTTTTTACATAACTTCTTAGTTTGATATAGTTCTGATTAATTTTATTACGAATCTTTTTTGTTAATTCATTTTTTATTCTAATTCATTTTACATGTGATTCGGATAACGTTTAGTTTATAAATTTAAAATTATTTTTAATTTATATATATTTTTTATAAAAAAAAAATATTATAATAAATTACGAACTTTAATTTAAATTATGAAACACCCTAATTTGACCTTCTTAAAAGTGCAATACGCTTAAAAATATTCTACCATGTAAATAATTTTCCGTTTATTTCTTCAATATTATTATTATTATTATCTTTGTTTATGCTTGGGCATCAATCAATCTTTCATAGATGCTAATGTGTATCAGATCAGAGCCGTCAATAAGAGGTGACGATACTCCGTAGAGCACCGGATCATCAACTCCTCATAACCAAGTCATTTCTTGGCAAGTCGTTCTCTCTCTCTCTCTCTCTCTCATCGGTTTCTGCTGCAGCAAGTCTCCTCTCTATGATCTGCTACTGAGGGTTTATTCATGAAACAACTTGTTATTACTCTACACTCTCTTTCTCAGGTACTCTTTCATTCTTTCTCCCATCTGCTTTTTGCCTTTCCGATTTCCATTATCTTGATTGTTCATCTTTATTTGTCTAAGCTTTTCGACAATTCTAGAGATTAAGATTCAAGATTTTTTGCGAATGATATTTTTTTCTAGCTACGAAGTTACATTATAGTGAAATTGATTCAGCTTCTTTCGTTAATTCTTTGTATTGAGTGATGGGTCCCCAGGTTTAAGGTTTATTCGATATCTCATTGTCAGTTTTGGTAATCTTGTGCTATATTTTCCTTGTGTTTTCTTGTCTGATCTTTTTTTCCGGGATTTTTCGGGATATTTGAATATTTTTAGGGCGCTGCAAAATCTTTGGCGCTTTCTAATGATAAGCTTTTTTAATAGCTGCTCTCAAATGGATAACACAACTATTGGAAAGTTGTCTTGATAAGCTTTTTTAAGATCATCTTAGGTTGCTAATTCTTTATATTTCACTATTATTTGGAGTCACCGTGCAAGGATTCTCAAGTTGGTTTAATTCTCTTATGGTCACTTAAGCTATTAGCCCAAATGAACTTGAATTATGAATCTGTATTTCTTGTTCAATTAATTGTAATTTGTACTTACACTTCTCATATTCAGTACAAATAATAAAGTAATTTTGTGTTTTTGGCCCAAGATAGGTTCATTTGTTGGTAGTCCATTTTGGACTTTCAGAATAGAATTTGCTTCTCTTTTACTTTTACTTTTTTTATTTTTAATAGTTTGAGATGGGGATATTCGCAACTGAATTTCTCAAATAACTGAACAAACATTATGTTTAGTAAGGAGTTCTTTTTGAAATGGGATTATGTTCATAAGATTCTTGTATGCGATCCTATTTTTATCAGTATTTGTGGTTACATATTGACGCTCCAATCCTGTGGTCGCTGTTTTCCTGGACTCATTGATTAACGTTTTGATAACATTGTGTTAAATCAAAGCCAATGTGGCCTTTCTACCTATATTTAATTTATGTTGCCTTACAGAAGATTTATACGTAAAGAAGAAATTGTATTCTTTTTCCTGGTTTTAGAGCAGCTAGTTTTATGTGAATGAGTGCCATTATGTAGAACACTTTCTCTCATCTTTTGATGTGCAAACTGATGTAGTGTTTGTTTCTTTACTAGCACGAGGAGTTATAACAGAACGTGATGGTTAGAGCATACAGACAGGAGTACACATACAGGCACCCATGGGAGCGGGTAACTTCTGCATCTTGGCGCAAGTTTGCCGACCCTGAGAATAAACGAACGCTATCGCACATCCTTGAAGTTGATACTTTGAACCACAAGCTTGACCCTGATTCTGGAAAACTTTATACTACTCGTGCAATCACTATTCATGCCCCTGGACCGTGGTTCATTCACAAAATTGTCGGCCAGGATATCTGCCACTGCGTTGAGTCAACTGTTGTTGATGGGCAATCACGTTCAATGCAATTGACAACCCGTAATATCAGTCTTCAGAAGTTCATAGAAGTGGAGGAGAAGATACGTTACGATCCACACCCGGATAATCCTGATAAGTGGGCAATCTGTCGGCAGCAGACTAGCATTCGGATAAAGCCATTGTCAGCACTGGCGTCAATGGCAGAAAAGGTGGAGCAGCGGTGTGCTGAGAAGTTCGTGCAAAACAGCGCCAAGGGTAGAGAGGTCATGGAGAGAATCTGCAAGTATCTTGAGGCTGAATCAAGTGGAATTTCTCTCTGACGCCAACTAATTTATTTCTTTTTACCTTTGTAGTCTTAGATCTTAGAGGCTGTATGCCCTTCCAGCTTAGTGGAATAACAAAAGCATTTTGGAGTCTAAACCATAGAGGACTTGATATGTTATGGGTTTTGAAATCAGTTTTCCATGCAATTTCCTAGTTGTTCTTGTTTTTCTAATAAGAAAGACTGGTTAAAGTTGGGAGATCTGCATCGTTTAGTTTGCCGATTCGAGTTTAAATTCGAGTTGAGATGTGACTTTATGTGAGAGCTTTTAACTGTTATAGAAAAGTTAGATGTGATTTTTTATGAAAGCTTTTAATTGTAACAAAATTGAAATTGAAAACTTAAACGGTGAAATGAGTGAGGCCACGTAATTATTGTGTTGTTTTACTAGTGTAATGTGCATGCGTATTGTTTCGGGAGACTGAGGAAATAGTAGTGGGGAACCACTCATTTACAGAAACTATGGTTTGAAAGTAAATAAACACTGATAACATATACAAGTTTTGGATCTCCAAAACCAGAAAATGCAGGGAATTGCTATCTCGTAGATGTCGGTAGACTTACAAGTATCTGAGCTTGACTTGTTGCGCTTGTACTTCATTTGGATGCACAATATGTAAAAGCATACCACTTGATTGATTACTTCTGTGTGATTATTTCTGTTTTGCTTTTGATTAGAAAGTACAATTGTGATATGTTGAATTGCTAAATTAATTTCAGTGACGGAGATTAATATGTTAACTCATCCATTAGATATCGTTGACATTGTTGTTATCTTGCCCATTTAGGCTTCCATGGATAAATTCTCCAGATTTCTCGTTAATTCCCATTTTGAGCAGTTTGGCTTGCATGCGGAACAATAATCATTTTGCTAGATGAAAAGTGTCTTACTTTTCAGGTTATCTTCAGCTTTTTGTTTTTCCTGAATGGTAATCTTCAGCTTTTTGTTTTTTCCTGAATTGTTATTTTCAGCTTTTTGTCTTTCCTGAGTGGTCAAAGAATGAGGAAGAGAGATCTAAGTATGCACGGCACGGTAAAGGGTGCTGGTGAAACTTTTAAAAACTATGAATATAATTTATAACATCATCACGAGACTGTATGGATTGTTTTCGATATCATTTGGGATCTGCACATACCGAATATGCCTGCTAGAGAAAGAAATGCCACATGAAACAGAACAATATATTACAAAGTGACCATGACAAACGTCGAGTAAACCAGAGCATAGAATTACAACTTAAAAAGACACCGATGCAACATACAAAACTCTCGCCAACCACAACAAAGATAGAGTTCTTCAAACTGCAGAGACGTCACAAAAGGCCTCCAAGTAGAGATAACAAGATAAATGGGCACTCGATAAAGATATTGCTGCAGCAAACTCAGAAGCCATCTCATGCATGTAAACGACCATCACATTTCAGAATGCAACACCACTCTTATCAGCCTTTATAGTTTGTCGAGCTTCTCAGCCTTGACCACTGGGTTGGCTTTTGCTATAGCATTCTGTGCAGCAGTGCGGTAGTCATAGGGGCAGTCATGTTTGTCCGAGTAGCGATGTACTGCACAGAAGAGGTTACCGCACCGACAATTGAACCCCGTCAATCCTACCCTCTTGTTGCAGCTGGTGCAGCGTTTTGGGCCCCCCTTCGGCTTTGCCTCATCACTCTGCGACCCCGAGCCAAATGATGGCACAGAGATAGGTTTTGGCTCAACTGGGTTGGTTTCAAAACCCACGCCAGTAGCTGCAGCAGCAACAGCAGGTTCATTCCCGCTGCTACTTGATGATCCATTGACAATACTTCCAATGGAAGATGCAGCGAGCTTAGCCTGCTCCTGCTTCAGCATCATGTCCTTGTGGCATTTGGAACACATGTTCATCGTGGCCGCGCTTCCAAAGAAACCACAATTATTGATGCACAGGATAGGACCTTCAGGAGGAGCTTGGCATCCTGTCTTGTCATGGTCCATCTTCTCAACTCTCTGCAATCAAATCATCAGAATATACGAAAGGAACCACGTAGAGAAAAAGCATACCGTGCAATTTCAACTACACAAAATTAGCAGCTCAAACCAACAAACAAATACTCAAATATTCTAAGAATTATTCATTCCTCGATAAAATTGAAACTAAAATGTATTGATGAAAAAAAAAACATGTGAAACAATTTAGATCGTGAACATTTAACAGAAGACCAATGATAGGCCATGGACCATTTCATGCTGCTCCTGAAGTCTCTTATTCCCAGACTCTAAACACAAAAAACCAAACATCTCAATCCATTTCCACTTAGTTAATACAAAAAATTCATACTTGCCAAAACCCTTCGGAACCTACAAATATATTCTCCTAAATAACTAATGAAGTCTTCAAATTTAACGTGTCCTAAATGGCTAAAACCCCTTAAATTTGTATTTGACAAAAAAAAAAGGAAACAGTAGTGACAACCTAAAATATTTTGCATGCTCAAAAATTAATTTATCTTCACAACCTTCAATAACATCTAACATCACAAATTAATCATCGATAATATAATATAAATATAAAAAATATATAAATACAAAAAAAAAAAAAAAAACTCACAAGGTAACCCTAACCTTTGGAGCAAACAACCACGAAGCGAACCTCTCAAACCGATCTCTGTGCTCAGAATCGCATCGAAATAAAAACCTATGTTCATAAACATAACCCAGAAGAAAAAAAAAATTATCAGACTCAACAGGTAGAGAAGAAGATCGATCAAACCCTAAATCAATCGCGAAAATAAATACGAAATCAGAGATTAATTTTAGAAAATGAATGAATTATCAAATATTATACCCTAACCCTAACAGATTTGGGATTACCTTGTGAGAGAGAAAGCAAAGCCGAAGAGAGAGAAACGTATCTCTCTTCTTCTTCTTCCTTTTTTTTTTTTTTTTGACGTTCTCGTTCTATTTAAGAAGTCCCATTTCCTTTCCTCCTTTGCCAACAAACGCTCCACTGATTAGGAGATGACGTGGGGTTTACCTATTGGCAGAGCTCTTAACCTCAAATTCAACTTTCCTTTTTTGTCCTTGTTCAATGTTCTAATAACGGTTTTGCCCGGACCGTAGCTTACAGTCACCGCCATTATGGTTTGAGAAAGAAGACTGTCCAATGGTTGTTGAGATAAGTGATTACGTCATTCAATGTGCAGAACTTGTCAAAGAATTTTCTTCTAATGTTTTTTCTTCTTTGCGTTTTTCATTTTTTTGTCAAATTATGAAAGGCTTAATTGCATTTTGTTACGCTGTTTATGGATCTCAAGGTTGTCAAACTCAGTATAAGTTGATACTGAATGCTTTTCCAACAAAGTGGATTGTCAATTTCTTTCAAAAGAACAAACAGATTTTTTTATAAAGCACCGTGACGTTAAACATTATTTATTAATAAAAGATGGATCTTATAATGTGACACGTATGTGATACTCACATTTTATTAGTGGTAACGCTTAATTCTGATCATGTTATTGAGCTTTTTTCTTATATATATATATATATATTAATTTACCAATACATCTTAAAAGTTTAAGCTCTTATGATGGATTAGTAAATTAACATGGTATCAAAATGGGAGATTTTGAGTTAAAACTCTCGTAATTGTACTCTTTATTTTCATTTAAAATTGTCATAATGTATTGGTTCTTTAATATATCTCGGGCTTAAATATTCACGTGTTGTGTTTTTTAATTAATTTACCCACATAATTATCTATTGTCCAGTCCACACGTGAGATGAAGTGTTAAAGTATAAAATTATTACTTGTCAACTTCCTAATAAGCTTTTTGAGATTGATTGATAAATTAAGATGACGTTGACATGAAGGCAAGATTGGCAAGGCTCTTATATCGTCCAAACGGGGCTTTTTTTTAGAATATATTTACAGAGCTTTTTTTTATTGAGCTTATTTACAGAGCTTATGATATTTATAATATAACTAATCAATAATTTTTCGGATGTTCTGTAAACCGTGTAGGACAGTAATTTGAACTTTTCATTACCAGTAAATAATGGGTTACACACGTTAAGAGGATGTTTGGTTAGAGGATTCAACCTATGATTTGAATCATGGTTCATGGTTCGTTACAGTGTTTTCTCTCATAAAAAATACACGTAAATAAAAAATGGTTCTAATCACATGATTATAATCCATGAACTAAACGTTTCCTAAGTTTGAACTTTTCTCATTTTGACAACTTCCTTTTTTTGATAAAGAAATGATAGGATGATGCCGCTTATGCTTGGACTTTCAATTTTTCTAAAACAAACGACAAGTAAATTTTTTTTTTAAGAATCTAAACGACAAGTTATTTTGTATGTAATAAAAGCAGCAAACATGTAGTTTAAACTCTATGAGGGTTAAGGACATATTATAAACTAGCTACTAGCAAAAAAGGACATGTTATAAACAAAAACAGACTTTACACAGGAGCAACACTACATTATCGCTCAGATAACAATTTTAAAAATAAAGGCTTGTTGTTTTGGAGTTTAACTTGAGTATAATTTTTGAGTTGAGTTTGAGTTATAACTTGAGTTGAATTTGTAACTTGAGTTTATGTTTGGTTGTGTACATTTGAGTTATGATTTGAGATAATAATCTTTTTGAGTTTGTATTTGAGTGAGTCAAAACTTGAATTTGTATTTAGATAATATTTTAATAAAAACTCAATGCTGATGAAAAATTTTAATATGGTATATGGGTCGGGTTTTATTCGTCTTTTCATTGTCAACGCATAGAAAAAAAAATAATCTCAATCAGAATTAAAACGAAAAAGTTATAATATTTTTAATAATAGAAAAAATATTATTCATTAATTTGAGTTCGAGTTTCTGAACTCAAGTTAAAAGGAAAACTTGAATTCGAGTCAAATTCAAGTTTAAACTTGAAAAAATATAAACTCGAATAAAATTGTAACTCGAGTTGTTTTTTTTTTTTTGAGTTTTTCGCTCAAAGAACAATCCCAAAGTGTATCCTTATATGTATCGTTTGATGACCTGACATGAAAATAGGCTTTATTTATTTATTTATTTGAAGGGAGATAAATAGGCTTTTCAAACATGAAAGGAGATTCGATTTTTTAGAAACAGATTGTCGTTTATGCTTTTTCTTTCCCAGGAAATCGTTTTCTATTAAACAACCATGTATTAGTTACGCATAAAACGAATTCCTTTAAGTAGTAGATTGTTTAAGTGAGAGTAAAAAAAAAATAAAAAAATAAAAATCTAAAACGATAATTACATGGAAGACTAATGGTTCGTTAATGGCAACAAACTTCATACCTAAAATGCATGTCATTTTTTACGTTGACAAGCAACATGCCGTTTTATATTGAGAGCACAAGAAGCTATTCCATTTTGCAAAAATTTAAGTCGTTCAATAAACTTTGATACATGTAACGTAACAATTTTTGTCGTTTAAAAAACGTTGATACATAAAACGTAAGTTCACTTAACGGATGGAAATTTAGAACAATTAAACGACATAAATTACAAGGAAAACAATGTCGTTTTATCTCTTCAAACTTCATATATGAACGATATGTGGTTTTTATATGCTAAGCAACTTGTTGATCAGTATTGAAGGCACGCTTTTTTTTTTTTTTTTTTTAAGCACAGGAAGCTTTGCCATTTTTCCAAATTAAAAAAAGTTGGACTTTTTTTTAACCGTTTCTTTAAATCGTCAAATTAGGCATATTTAAAACCAAATAAAAATATAATAGTCCGTAATGGCATAGTATAAATGGGATATATTTTTTTTTTACTACTTCTGCAAAACTCACTGTTGGGATTTATTTCTAGAGATTGTTGGGATTTGTTTATCATTTTGTGTATTGATTGTAATCATATTTGATTGGCATTATTTTGAGAATGTTTGGTTGGTTGATTGTGTTTGAAAATAGATGTGCAGCTGGCTAGCTTTTTATGGAAGGTTACTAAAAGATTTGAAAACTTGTTTTAGTTTCTATTTTTGTAAGTCAACTATTGATTCAAATATGGAAAATTGATTTGATTGATTATTGATTGAGATTTCATAGCTGGATGATCTTCCTATGTCGCCTAAGAACGTGTCCATGTTTGTTTATCAGTTTTTGGAAGATTTCATAATGAAAGGAGATTGATTCGTCTAGTTTTGAGAAAGTTGGCCATGACAGCTATGTTACAATTATTGTTGCAACAAGGATTTGCAACAGATTTAGTTCAGCGAATTAATTGAAGATGTGTCAAGCTATTCACAGCTTGCTTATTTATTGAAAGTGTCCCTTAAGTCTCTGTAGGCCTTTTGATGAGTTTTTGCTGGGTTGTAAGACATGGGTCAACACTTGTATTCAAAGAGATGATTTGAGTGTTTTTCGGGAGAAAAACTTAATTTGAGAGATTCCAATGTTAAAAAGTCGAGGGGATCTCGCTGTTCAAGTCCATTGGGAAATTACAAGTTCATAGGTGTCTTCTTAGAGAGAGAGTCTCGGGTAGATTAAGTCCAATTGAATTGTAAAAGAGTTCTTAGTGGATTGTTCATCATCTGGGCGTGGCCCCGCGGAGTAAGGTATTACCGAACCGCGATACCATTTCTCTTGTGTTCTTTTTTTATGTTTCTGCATTATTCATATTATCTTATAAAGTGTTAAAAAGACTCAAACTGGTACCAACACTCACCTTGTACTTATACAACTTTTTTTTACTTATACTTAACACCAAAGGAAAAAACAAAAAAAAAACAAACGACAACAAGATAAACGATAGTAAAGTTACAAGAAAACTACAAGTAGCTTGACTACTGTAGCTCCAACAAACTTCAAACCCACGCGACAAATCGTTGTAATATGATCATAATTATGCCGTTTTGGAGAGAGGCAAAGGCCGGATCAAGGGTGGACCGGCGGGGGGCACGTGAGAAAATTAAAGGCCTTATTAATTTCATCAATTCGAGTTTTCAATTTTAAATTTTTACAGTAAAAATTTTTTAAAAAATGTCACATTTAATTTTTTCTGCTACAGTGAAAAACTCTCATAAAATATCACATATCAACTCGAATTAAAAACTCGACTCCGCGAAATGAACAATGCTGGACTTGTATGCATACTAATTTTTATGCATTATATAAGTGAGCCCCAATAACTTTAACAACCAATATGAAATCACCTGGATTTTCTGTTTTGATTTATGTTGGCTAAATGAGAACAATTTAAAATTTAAGAGACAAAGTGAAAGTTTTTAAAATTTAAGAGTAAATTGAGAATGACTCTAAAATTCAGATGGCACCAATAAAAATAATTCTATTTTATATTTATTTTTCTTCTCCTTTTCTTTTCTCCCCCTCACAAGTCTTCACTCTTCGTAAGTCTACGTACGTACACAGTAACACAATAGTAACAAACTATTTTTGCTCTTTTTTTATTCTCTTTAAAGTCAAAATATTTACTGGTGCACGTACTTAAAGTATTGAATTCACAAGCCTTCTCACAAGTTTATTTGCTAGTGCAAGTTTGTAATGATCAATCCTATAAGGTATGTAATTTAATGTTATTCATATAATGGTGTGAAATTTTTTTAATGAAATGTATTAATATTTGCCCCTAAATTTAAATTATGGATCCGTCATCCACTGTTTAATATCTCTACCAATTCCTTTCAAAAATCTCATTTTTCCCCTAGTGTACATATCGTATATAATAGATATGTAAGCACACGACTATGAGATTAAAATTATTTTCGATTTACGTGTGTTTTTTGTGAGAGAAAATATTATAGCGAACTATGAATCATAATTCGAATCAGAGAACGAATCTTCCAACCAAATAGGCTAGTAGTATTTGGCCAACGGGTATGGTTGCGTTGCCTTTGCTGTAGAAGAAGGATTTATGAGATGAATCCATGCTAAACGGTTGTGCAGATGTCTTAACAGTTATTGTTAGCTTCAAACTCAGAAGTGGAAGAAAAAGAAAATGAAATTCCTTGATGTGGTAAATATTGAGGGTTTTAATTTTTTTTTTTTACTTTCTGGTTGATTCATTTCATCAAATGTTTAAACGAAATGGATGCCATCGTTAGTTGTTGATGTTAGTAAGTCATGCATGCTTTATGTTGTAATAGAGATCAGACAATTTAATTTTAACGGGCTATAAGTTTATAATACATTCAAATGTTGGGTACCTGCAAATTTGGGTGGACAATGAACTTATTACGGGGGAAAAAAGGTGGACAATTGTATTTTCTTCTGTCAAATGAGCTAGTATTATTTTTCCATCTTCTTCTTTTTTTTTTCTTTTTAATTTGGAGGTGGAATTTGTGGTGGGTGTGTATTTATCATTGGGCCATACATGCAATCCCAATCAGTTGGTGGACGTTTAATTTATGGATTTAGAATTATAATTCATAATTATTCTCGATTATATGTGTTTTTTATGTGAAAAAATACTGTAACGAATCACGAACTATGATTCGAATCGTGACACATATACACCAATCAAACCCTTTTCTACAATTTGCTAGCACAAAGATGAAAAACACATAACCAATTTGCACTTCCAAGAATAAAAAAAAAAAGAATGATATAATTGGCTCATTTTGATATTTATCTTTCAAAACATCACAAAACAAATTCATAATCTAATAAATTGTCCTAAATTAATCATTTCGTTCATTCTAACTGTTAAAATTTCAATAAAAAGAGGCATAATTTATTTCTTAACAGTTAGGGCCCCAACATGTAAACTCCTGTTAAATTGCATATAGTGTGCATTTTTTTCCTTTGAGATTTTTTTAACGGTTAGGTATATGAAATGATTGAAATATCAGAGATCAGAATAATATTTGTTCTATAGTTGGAGGCTAGAAATATATTAACTCTACAATTTTCTATCTGAGTTTTTCATATATCGTTGTAAAGTAAGAAAGATAAATAATTCTATTATAGTAAGATGAAGCTTAGATCTCGTTCAGTTTATCAATTTGAGTTGATATATAATTTTATAAGAAAATTTTTAATTATAATAAAAAAATTAAATATAATTTTTTGTGAGATTTTTTTATATAATAAAACTGAAATTGAAAACATTCAAAATGAACAAGAATTTAACATATATTGAAAATGGAAAATGAACTCTTGTGCGACGAACGTTAGGGTCGTAACGGCTAGTTCGTACAGCCTACAAAAGCAATGGACAAGATTTAACTCTGCTCCCCCGTCTCTGCCCAAGAAAAGTTTCCTCGTGTCTGATATTCAACCGTCCGATGACTCGACTATTCCAGATCAACGGTGGAATTATGAGAAGAGGCACGTCTTTTGAAACAACTGAAAGAAACAAAGAGAGCCGTTACGGGGACCTCACAAAAGAACAGATGGTCCCACAAGTCCCAGGGAACACCCAAAAAAGAGAAACTTTCCTCAACCTTAAAATAGAACAGTGCAATTATCAAGTTAAGTCCGCAAATAACCGGAAATTAAGAGGGATTAAGAGCACGTTTAATTTACACGTTTAAATAGTGATTTTTAATTTTAATATTTAAATTTTAAATTTTTTATAAAAAAATATTATAAATCCGACAAGCAAACGGCTATAAATAGTGATGTCTCCCACCGTCCCCAACGCACAAATCGTCTCTCAGAAACAGAGCTAGAGCCATTCTCTTCTACTCTCTCTCTGTCTCTGCTCTGTTTCTGACTCTCAAAATCCTCTCTCTCTCTCTCTCTAGAAAAATGGCTCACGTTAGCAGAATCGCTTTCTTCTTCATGGCGTTGGCTATATTGGCTCTTTCAGCTACGGCGCAGGATAACGAGTTCTCTCCGGCTCCGGCGCCGGCTCCGACGATAGAGAGCGTTGCGGGGTTTCCGGCGACTTTCTCCGGCGTATTTCTTCTCTCTTCTCTGCTCTTCTCTCTCGCGGCGTCCCTGTTGTACTAGATTGATCTGGAAGATTCAAGTTTGAGTTTGTTTCTGTTTGAGGAGAGTGATATTTATATGATGATTTCTGTATTAGCCATTCTTTTGCCCTAATCATTGGTTAGGGACTTCACTGTATTGCCTTATTAATTATATGTGGAATAAAGATTATGATTGATCATTGTTCTTGTATTGTTATTAGATATTCTGTACTAGTATGCTGAGAAAAATACTATTTAAACACAAAATCCGCTTATCGGTTGTTCTAATTGACCAAATCCCAAAGTTATATAGATCGTATAATTAAGTAAAAAAATACTCTCTTTGATGATTAAACAAATGGTTCATTTGAAATTTTTGGAATTTTTAACTTATGCGACTAAATTTTTTTTTTTTTTTTCAGATCCTCTATATATGAAAAGCAACAAAAAAAAAAATCTAAAGTAGTGGACACATTTGAAAAGTAGTGTACATAATTTTCCACATGAAAAATTATGTGCCAAAGCAACTCAACCAGCATGTTACTATTTCGAACCTTGCCGGGGTGGGGAGAAAAAACTAAAAGGTGTATCACATGATATGCTCGATCCTGTTTGTGGGGAAATTGCTAGAATTCAGATTTAACACCCCTTGGGATTTAAATATTGATATACCGGAATCTCTACAACACTCAAAAATCGTTGTTGTTTCCACCGCTAATATATTTTAGTCTTTTAGAGCAACTGTAAGTTTTGTGTCTTGGCCAAAGTGGGTGTTAATTTTTGTTTCTTAGGAATATTTAAAAAAAAAAAAACACTTTTTTTTTTTTTTTAGAATAATGATCAGCTTTGTATAATTTATTTTATATTTTATTATACTAATGTGTATATCATTGAGTTTAAGTGAACTTTGCACTATATTTATTGGTTTAGTTCAGAACTATGCCCCCTTGACAAATTTCTGACTTTGCGTAAAAATGAGTTTAATTTGATTGAGACACGAAGCTATGCCTCCCTTAAATTAGAGAACAGAAGTATTTTACCCGACGCACACAAGCTAAATGCTCATTTTATAAGTGGAGAAAAACATTTATATTACTTTGAAGAGAAAAATTAGATATTAGGTTGCGTTTGTTTTAAGAATTTTGCATGGTTTTAAACTATAATTTTTTATTCTGTTACAGTATTTTTTTTTAAATTTAAATTTTAAATATCTCCGGTTTAAATCTATGAACCAAACGAATTAGCTTTTGCGTGGGCTTCAATTCACAAGAGATTGGGCTGGGCTTCCAGCACACTACTTCCATCAGCAAGCGAACAGAGTACCAACAACACAGCTCAGATCAGTATCACCTTCTCCAAACGACAAGTCGATCGGGTATTCTTCAATGAAAGTGTGCGTGTCCTTATTTTGATATCAACTCTTGGCTGCATCATTGTGCGTTTCATTACTCAGCGGACTCTTGGCTAATCATAGAATTGTGAAAACAAATAATAAGATTACGTGAGAGAAATATTGGTAAGGAAATATTTTGATTTTGGGTTCATAAACATAAAATAAACGTGTACTTAATTGATTGGCTTTAACATATAGGTTTATAATTGGTTTATTTAAGCTAGACCATTATATATAAAATTTGATCAGTTGGTAAATTGTATGCTTTAATATCTACATATGATGACATACTATTGGAACATATAACTCCTTTAACATAGGACAATAGGTAAATTAGAATTAGGTTTTTATATAAAACGTTTACTATTAAAATATATTAATTACTTATAAGAACATTTGTTTTTTCACATCATTGTGAATCCAAATTATAAGGTGCCAACCGCCAAAGCTTGTGATTCAATATGGCAATGGAAACAAAACAGATTGGAGAAAACAAAGTAATAATATCAATTGTGAGTTCTTAAACGTGAGATATTAATTAATTATGAGTTCTTATCAAAAAAATTAATCAAGTACAAGCAGCTTTCATAGACACCAAAATGATCAGACTTACATAGTGGTGCGCTGATGGAATTAACCCAAGAGAATACGTTAATTCAGCCATTAAAAATCAGTTGAACATTAGTTTTTACTCCAAAACTATTCAACTCCTAAATTAATTCTAGGATCAAGAGGAGAATTCTGTAATAGTTATACAAATATATGTCATTATACACACAGGTTTAAACTGTCTAATTTTTATCTGATCATCTTAAATTGTTTTACTTTTTTAGTACAATAAGATTTTGATGCCATGTCGTGGTTTGGTGACAGTTGAACATGGACATTTTTGTCTTTTCCTTTGTGTGTGTTTTTAAAACAGAAAAAAGCTAAAAAAATAAGAGCACAATTACTGTACATGATTTGTTATAATTTTGTGTAAGTCTATTATTTATATCATTATAAACAATTAAGTGTCATCGTAGACTTTTATTTTCTCTTTATTAATTGAATGATAATTGTTTATTTTTTGATAACGTAATATAAATAATATTTTTTACTACCTTGAGCAGTATTTCTGATTTTTTTTCAAAAATATTACAACGGATTACTCAAACAATCACATTAGAAGATCATCGATCGCATGTGGTTTCTGGCTTACTGCCGGTATCTTGGTATAATACTACCAAGCATATTTTTGTATTCCAAATGTGTTTCGGTTGCATCTTCTTTTGGGTGCGAGAATTGTGGCTCTGTAAAGTAGAGTTTTTTTTTTTTTTTTTTTTTTTTTTCCCCCTTCTTTCTTTAATCACGTTCTAGCCGCACTCACAGTGTGAGGAGGATAAATATGTCCATGAAAATCTTGACTAAAAATTTGACCGACGTGCCAAGTAATATTAAAATTTATTATTTACTTAATTTAATTTTAAAAATTTATTATTTACTACACCCTCTCAAGCTTGCAATATAAGTTAATTACAGAAAATAAAAGAAAAAATGCCTAATGGCGTAGCAGGTGATGGAAAGTTAGGTATATCAATTTATCAATCAAAGTCCATCACAAAAGAAAGAAAGAAAGAAAGAAAGAAGATCGAGATTGTTTAACATTTCTTAAACCCACCTCTTCAAACCATCTCTTTCTTCCACTGTAAAAATTCCTCTCTCATTCTTTCCTTCTTTCTCTCTCAGAGCCGTTATGTATAGTATCTTTGGTCTGAGTTTACGTCCAACGAACCACCCGTGTTAAGTTCTTCCAAAGTGCCATCGGATTCCTTGTTTTCTTTGTTTCGACTTTCTGGGCAGAAGACCTCCATGGATTCTCAGGTCTTGGTGGCTCTCGGCCTCTCACTTGTCGGTGGACTTAGTACTTCCATAGGTGAATGAGTTTCACTAATATTTATGCTTTGACTTGACTAATTGTATAGATTTTTGTTGTTATAATTGGCTTACTTATGAAAATTTGACTATCCAATTTAGTCTGCGGGTACTTGTTTTGCTAAAAGAAGTTTTCTTTCTGAGTATATGAACGAACCCATTTTTGACAACTGTTGTATGATTGATTCTAATTGTTTCCCGGTATCAAAAACTTTGTAGTTTAATGTTCTTGATTTGGGTCAGTAATTTTCTTTAGCATTTTACTTATGGTGCTTCACTACCTTAATTATGTCTCATCATACCTGTTCTGTAATCTAATTAATTGTATGAGAGTTCATTGTGGATAGGGGCGCTCTTTGTTATCCTCAATCCGACTCCCAATTTGAAGATGCTTGGACTTCTGCAGGTAATGTTCACAGATTAGTTGTTTTTTTTCTTTTCTTCTTTCTAGCACCACCTAAATGGTATATTTTATTGCTTGGAAGGGTTATTGTAATCACTTTGGTTACACATTCCCATATTTTACTATTGTTTGCTCTGTTCTCCCACCTAATGATTATGTGCTATCATGTTTTTCGTATTATTACTTACTTTATCTGGAATGGGAGAATCGATTTTTTGGCAATTTATGTGAAGTCAGTGACATTTTGGCCACATCTCTTAATGTTCTCTCTCTGCAGGGGTTTGCTGCAGGTCTGATGCTGAGTATATCATTCCTGGATTTGGCTCACAATGCAATAAACTCTATTGGATTCTTAAAAGGCAACTTATGGGTAAGTTGTAACCTTCAATGCTCAAAATTTGAATAGGAAACTATTCGTGTTCGCTCTAATGATATAAATTGTACTTTCTTCACGGCACAGTTTTTCGCGGGTGTTGTTTTCTTTGCTGTGGTTGCCAATTTCATACCAGAACCGACACTTGCTCCCGTTTCAGATGGGAAAGATAAAAAGGTCTGAGTTTTCCATTCTCCATAAGATATATATGTACCTAGTTTCTTATTATTAGGTGTTTGAACTGTCGTCCAAAATGTAGAAGGCAAGTTGACCATTAGAAAATGTACCTGATAACAGAATAAAGGGGATGAAGGGGGCAAGGATATTATGAAAAAGCATCGCCGTCAAGTCTTGTTCAGTGGGATTATTACAGCAATAGGTATGACACCCTTGTTGAAATGCTCTAATTTACCTTCTAGAGTGTGATTATTCTTAATAATTTTTAATGTTAATTGCAGAAAACCTGTAGAAATGTCATTAAGTGCGATCTTTATGCATAAAGCTTTAAATTAAAGCACAGGCTGCATGTTTTTTTTTTACTGATCTCATCATTTGTTTCGCATTAAAGCTGGATAAATATCTGAATGTCCAGTTCTCAATAGTTAACTAATGTTTAAGATCGTGCTAAAAATCCTACTCTGATAGAATTTTTTGCACCCACTTTGAATCGTAGGCATAAGCTTGCATAATTTTCCAGAAGGAATGGCAGTGTTCCTAGGATCTATGAAGGTAAGATCAGCGTAACTGTATATCAATATGATATTATGAACTCTAGTTTCTTTAGTTTTATCTGTGGTGGGGTATCAGCTAAATCTACTTTCGGTTTTGGATTCTTAATCTATTCTTAAATGATCCGTTGCTTATAGAACCTTTTTCGTATGCAAGTGGAGCTGTAATTATGTTATAAGGGACCCTAAGCAAGGTTTTGTAGTGTTAGATATTGGTTTAATATGCAAAATTGCAAATCTTATTTTGCTGTTGAATAAGTTCTTTTGATATTCTTATTTGTTCCATGATTCTTTACAGGGTCTTCGTGTTGGTCTCAACTTGGCACTGGCCATTGCTTTGCACAACATACCAGAGGTATATATTGAACAGAACAATGGGTATCTCTCACTCTGACTCCCTTTGATTTATGGCCCTTTGGTTTCACGGGTTTGAACTAAAGTTCAAATCTTTTTACTACAGTGTTCCCTCTCACGAAAAGTTTGAATTTCTGTTCAAGCCTCTGAATAAACCCTAGTGACATATATAATTTTTGGAAGAGAGAGTTATTAAAGTTGGAGTGCATTTAAGTAAGAGTGGATGCTGTCAAAATGTAGGAGAAAGAAAATTTTGAAATTGGTTTTATAATGTTTTGAAGCTCGAGCAAATAATAAATAAATGTCTCTGTTCTGATCTGACGTCTTGTTATCTTTTAGGGCGTTGCTGTTGCACTTCCTGTTTACTTTGCGACACAAAGGTAATAATTTTGAAGATGCTATATGCTAATTAACTTTATGAAAGAATGGAAATAGGCGTAATCTTATATTTAACAAGTAAAATATCATTATCACATTTGTCAAATTGGTTCTTACTAAAAGTAAAATGTAATGAACTAACTAGTTGGTATGAGCTATGGGATAACGGTGTACGTGGTAGTGATAATTACCGTCTTGGCAGCATTGTTAGGGCATGTCAGTTTATGGTGGTGATACAGAAGATAGTTGTGAATTGGTTCCATGCTCATATTAGTCATAGTACTGAATATGGTAAGGGCAGCAACAAATTTACCGGGTTGGACTGTGGATGATGTAGTAGCTTGTAGCTATAATGAGGGCTGTTATCTCTGTAGCGGTTGCGAAGGAGTCTGATAGAGCCCAAGTACAGGAAAGAAGAAAGAATTCTGGAATATAGTTTTATTGATAACGAAAAGAAATACAAGATAGTACTGGTCTTTCGAGAGGACCAGCTCTCTCCCAAGTCCACTCAGAAAATGCCAAGATGTCTTTCCCCCACATGCCCCACCCACTAAATAGCTAACAACTTGCCTAACTGCTTTCTTTTTCCCATGCACAATTAACTAATTCAATTAATCCCGCCAGCACACACTGCTCTCCCACCTCTTTATGACCTCAGCACAAGGCCACCTCAGCTAAGACACGTGCTTAGCACGTCTGGCATATGTAAAACGAATCGGTGGCTTATCATTACTCCCGGCCCATAGAGACACCTTGTCCTCAAGGTGAAATTCTGGAAATTGCTCCTGAATCAGTTCGTAAGGCTCCCAAGTTGATTCAAACGAGGGCAGACCCTGCCACTGGATCAACACCTCCAAATGGTGGCCAGGACCCCCTTTTCCTGCACGAAGGCCCAGAACAGCCTCAGGCGCCACACACAACTCCAAGTCAAAGTTAAGCTGAGGTGGGAAGGTCGGAGTGGCCTCCTTATTCCCGATGGCCTGCTTGAGTTGCGAAACGTGGAAGACATGGTTAATAGCCTCCCCTGAGGGCAAGGTCAACCTATAAGCCACTGGTCCTATCCAAGCTTCAATAGGAAAAGGTCCAAAGAAACGCGGGCTCAACTTTTCGAAGGGCCGAGACGCCACGGTGTGCTGCCTATAGGGCCGCAATTTCACGTATACCAAGTTCCCCACATCGAACTGGACATCTCTCCGGTGGGAGTCAGCCACCCGCTTCATGCGACTCTGGGCCTTCAAGAGATGGTTTCTTAGCTCGTCTAACATGACGTCCTGCTCCTTCAACAGCCGGTCAACGTCCGAGCAGACAGCGGTCCCCTGATCGTAACGGAGTAGCGAGGGAGGGGGTCGGCCATATACCCGCCTGGAAGGGAGTGGTGTTGGTGGCTGTGTGAAACGCCGTATTGTACCAATACTCTGCCCAGGAGAGCCGCTTTGCCCACTACCGAGGACAGCCACCCGCCAAGCAGCGCAGGTAGGTTTCCAAGCATCTATTCACCACTTCCGTTTGGCCATCGGTCTGCGGGTGGTATGCGGTACTGTGCTTGAGATTGGTGCCCTGAAGTTTAAAAAGTTCCGACCAAAAACGGCTCATGAACACCTTATCCCGGTCCGACACTATCGAGTGTGGAACTCCATGCAGGCGACCCCTGGAGTTGAGTACGGGTGTTTGAGGCCGATGAAATGAGCGTATTTGGATAGACGATCCACCACAACCAAAACTGTATCGACGCCCTCCGACCGAGGCAATCCTTCCACAAAATCCATAGAAAGGTCCTCCCAAATTTGCGAAGGAATCGGAAGGGGTTGGAGTAAGCCGCCTGGGGACAACGTGGAACTTTTCTGCTGCTGGCACACGGTGCAATGGCTAACATAGCGAGCGATGTTGCCCTTCATACCCTCCCAATAAAAGTGCGCCGCCAGTCGTTTCCAAGTCTTCAAAAAACCGGAGTGTCCCCCCAAATTGCCATCGTGATATTCTTTCAGCAGGGCCCCCACAAGAGAAGACAGTTTAGGGATGACCAAATGTTGTTTGTATATGAGCCGCCCTTGGACAAGGGAGTATCCTGGTTTTGAAGTTGGATCCCGAAGCAAGGTCTCCACTATTCCCTGGAGTTTGTCATCCTGTGCAATGTGTTGTTCTAGGTCATCAAACTCCACTACCCGAGGCACTGTTAGCGCCAGGAGGGCCGCCCCTGGAACCACCCGAGACAAGGCATCAGCTGCCCTGTTTTGCAGCCTCGGCTTGTATTGAATCTCAAAGTCGAATCCCATCAACTTGGTCAGCCAGCGTTGGTGCTCCGGACTGACCATTTGCTGCTCCAACAAAAACTTCAAACTCCGTTGATCGGTGCGTACAACAAAGTGGCGGCCCAGCAGGTAATGCCTCCACTTTTGCAGCGCCCAAACCACAGCCATGAGCTCCCTCTCATAGACAGATTTCGTTCGTGTGCGCTCAGGCAACACCCGGCTGAAGTAAGCAATAGGCCGTTGACGTTGCATCAACACCGCCCCAACCCCATGCCCCGACGCGTCCGTTTCCACCACAAAGGGGGCCGAGAAATCCGGAAGAGCCAATACCGGAACCGTTACCATAGCGTCCTTCCATGCTTGGAAGGCGGCCTCCGCCCTGTCGGACCATTGAAAATTGTCCTTTTTTAATTGATCAGTTAAGGGCCAAGCCAGCCGGCCATACCCTTCCACAAAACGTCTGTAATACCCGGTAAGCCCCAAGAATCCCCGTAGCTCCTTGAGAGAGCGAGGACGTGGCCAATTCGTCATCGCTGCCACTTTAGCCTCATCGGCAGCCACCCCATCTCAGGACACAATGTGACCGAGGTACTCCAATTTTTCCTGGCCGAACACGCATTTCTTCCGGTTAGCGAATAGGCGGTGAGAAGACAGAATTTGCAGCACTTGTCGGAGGTGCCCGCAGTGGTCCTCAAGGCTTCGGCTGTACACCAAAATGTCGTCAAAGAAGACCAAGACGAATTTGCGGAGGATTTCCCGGAAAAGATCGTTCATGAGCGCCTGAAACGTAGCCGGCGCATTAGTGAGCCCAAAGGGCATCACCAGGAATTCGTAGTGACCCGTGTGCGTGCGGAAGGCTGTCTTGTGCACGTCCTCTGTTTTCACCCGGATTTGATGATATCCGGACTTAAGGTCCAACTTGGAGAACACCACGGCCCCATGCAATTCATCCAGCAATTCATCGATCACGGGTATTGGAAACTTATCGGCGATCTTAGCCTTATTCAAGGCGCGATAATCTACACAAAACCTCTGGCTATTGTCTTTTTTACGTACCAGAAGAACTGGGCTCGAAAAGGGACTCACACTCGGTTGGATGATTCCTGCCGTGAGCATGTCTCGCACTAGCCTCTCAATCTCCTCCTTCTGCACCTGTGGATAACGGAATGGCCGGACATTAACGGGCTCCGAACCGGACTTGAGCACGATGGCATGATCCCTAGACCGAGTTGGGGGCAAGCCATCCTCCCAAGCAAACACCTGTGAAAATTGATCCAAAACAAGTTGAACTGCCGCGGAATAGACTCTTTCGTCTCCGACGTGGTCGCTGCAAGTTGACTCAGCTCGACCTAGTATCCCTCCCCCTCATCTTTGATAGTTGAGATCATGGTTTTCAAAGACACCCGTGAAGTACACAAGGTCGGATCCCCTTTCAGAGTCACGCCCGTTCCGCCAACCCGGAAACGCATGGTTAAAGCCTTCCAATCGACATGCATACCCCCCAACGTAGCCAACCATTTCATCCCAAGGATAACGTCTGCGCTCCCTAATTCCAAAGGCAAGAAGTCTTCAACGATCTCGACACAAGGCAACGTCAAGACCACCCCTTTACACACACCAGCACCCTTGACAGTGATCCCAGTGCCCATCAACACCCCGTACCCCGCGGTATCTGAGCACGGCAGCCCGAGTTTCTCTACTACCGCCGTGGAAATGAAGTTGTGGGACGCGCCACAGTCAATCAACACCACGACCTCCTGCTGGGCAATGGACCCCTTTACCTTCATCGTACGCGGGTCGGCAAGACCCACCACGGAATTGATGGACAATTCCACAACCTCCGTGACGGCCTGCTCGGTAAGACCCTCTGCGTCGTCCTCCAGAGGTGGTGGCTCAACAGCATCGAAGTCATCGTCCACCATCAAGACGTGTAACTCGCGATTCTTGCAACAATGCCTAACAAAAAATTTCTCGTCACAACGGAAACACAACCCTTTCGCGCGGCGCTGTAAGAGCTCGGCATCAGACATCCGACAGACGGTTGGCGGTTTTGAAGGAGCGGAGTGATTTGCCTGTGGCGCCTGGGATTTTTGGAATGAAGGGAGCTATGTAGGACTATGAAAATTCGAAGGAATAGAAAACCTGACGTGTTTAGAAGGATCGGCCCCTCCGCTCGCTCCACTGGACTGTTGGGCTTGAGGTGGGCCCCGAGGCCCAATTCCCGATGGGCCCTGGCGGTGGGCCATCAACATGTTATTGCGCTCCTCCACTAGCTGAGCCCGGGTCATCAGTCGGTCGAGGGACTCCGGGTGATACATGCGTACCTCCGCCCGAATCTCCGGCCGTAATCCGTTGATGAACGTGCTCTCTAGCACGTGAGTTGGGACGTCAACCACCTGAGCCGCCAATGCCTCGAAGAGTCGGCGATAGTCTCGCACGGTTCCCTTCTGTTGAATAGCCAGGAATTTGTCAAGAGCTGTCCCTTCTTGGGAAGATCGGAATCGATCGAGGAGTTTGCGTTTGAGCTCCAACCAAGAACGAACAGGGTTCCTGCCATCCTCCCATTGGAACCAAGCCAGTGCTTCCCCTTCGAAACAGATTGCAGCAGCACTCAACTTGTCCTCCTCTGTCAAACGATTCACCGAGAAGTAACGTTCCACCCGGAAAAGCCAACCCTCAGGATTGTCACCCTCAAACAACGGCATCTCCAACCGGCGCACTCCCAGATCGCCGCGAATCAGAGACTCCCGGAACTCGTCCGCCTTCCCCGGCTCAAGATCTGGATTATCCAAGGACATCACCGTCTTCCCGTTGTCTCCCGAAGCACCTCCCGGTCGGGACACCCCACTGGACTCCTCCAAGGACGACGGATTACCAGCGACACGCGGGGACTCCAAACGCTGAAGAGCCTTATCCACCCGGTCGAGGATGGAAAGCTTATCCATAACCATGGCAAGATGTTGCTCCATTGGGCCCAGACGCTGCATATCGGAACAAAGGGATCCAACCTGTTCCTCCATCGCGGCAATGCGGGGTTCCAATTGCTTAGCCATGAATAAAGAGGATCAAGTGCTCTGATACCAAATTGATAGAGCCCAAGTACAGGAAAGAAGAAAGAATTTTGGAATATAGTTTTATTGATAACGAAAAGAAATACAAGATAGTACTGATCTTTCGAGAGGACCAGCTCTCTCCCAAGTCCACTCAGAAAATGCCAAGATGCCTTTCCCCCACATGCCCCACCCACTAAATAGCTAACAACTTGCCTAACTCCTTTCTTTTTCCCATGCACAATTAACTAATTCAATTAATCCCGCCAGCACACACTGCTCTCCCACCTCTTTATGACCTCAGCACAAGGCCACCTCAGCTAAGACACGTGCTTAGCACGTCTGGCATATGTAAACCGAATCGGTGGCTTATCAGAGTCTTGTCAAGAACCAGGCTTTACACATCTAACATAGATCCAATGGTGCTATATTGCTTCGCATATGGATTTACCATTACCTCAAATCTGATCCTACTAAATTAATGAGTTTTTGTTTGTATAACAAATTTGCGTACTAACACTGAGGTGGCAAGCTAAGTTGCTTTTTTTTTTTTTTTTTTTTTTTTTTTTACAAAATTGCAAGTCATGGCTAAACACTGAGTTATGCACTTGGATTGCACTCTAGCGGTTCCCTAAGGTTGCTTTGGTGTTTATCAATTTTGTTTCATTTGGTGCATTGATTTACGATTCAATTTTTGCCTCTATGTTGATATATGACAAACCTGTCTTAATAAACTAAATTTACTTATTTCATGGTCTTTCTCAGTAAGTGGCAGGCATTCAAATTGGCAACCCTATCTGGTTTGGCTGAACCCTTGGGTGTTATAATCGTAGGTAGGTCAATTTTTTTCTTGTGGCTATGCGAGGCTTTAAACCAAAACACTACTCTTAGAACATTGAATTTCCAGCTCTCTTTTTTTTTTTTTATTTTTTTTTTTTTTTTTTATAACTTTTCACGACATTAATGATGGTCACTTTCCGAGCAGCGTATCTATTCCCTAGCAGCTTGAGTCCTGAAATCCTTGAAGGCCTTCTCGGATCAGGTTTGCATTATTGATTCTTCAAAACTTTTCCCACTTACAGATAGATGAGATATTGGTTACCGTACAATTTGGATTCTTTCATATATTTCTGTAACAAGTGCAGTTGGTGGAGTGATGGCTTTTCTAACTTTGCATGAGATGCTGCCCTTGGCATTTGACTATGCCGGGCAGAAACAAGCTATCAAGGCCGTGTTCTTGGGAATGGCATTTATGTCCGCGAGGTAATAAACTATGAATATAGCTTGAAAAAGACTGAAAATTTTAGCAAGAGCCAAAGTATAAGTTAATATTCCACTGAGTCCACTCTTGTATTCACGAGGGTGGGAACAAATTAGGGTCCGTTTACTTCGTTGATTTGAGTTTTTAATTCGAGTTGATATGTGACTTTATGTGAGAGTTTTTTACTGTAGCAAAACTCGAATTCTAAACTCGAATCGGTGAAATAAACGAGACCTTATTTCCTTTGCTTCTCTGTCTCATGTTTCAACTTTGCTCCTTGTTGGTTTTGCAGCTTATATTTCCTTGAAATCAGCTTACCTGAGGAGATGAGCTTGTAGAAATTGATCAGCATTAATTCCCCTGTTGTACATGCCTAATTAACTTTGCTATAATCATGTGTCCTAACTTCTATCCCAGCCAGTGACTGCTTTTCTTCGTTCACTGGCATTAGAAGATTAGTACTGATAAGCTTCTTTCAAGTCCCTCAAATAATTGGAGTGGTGGCTAATTTGGTCACATCTACTTAATACATTAATCTTGCCTTTTTATCCTAACCTGGAATATAAAAAAAAATTAAAAAAATTAAAAAAAAAGTTGTCTGAAACTGTTATCTCTCTGCTCTTTTTATGGAACTTGAATACTGTAGAATTTTGAGAACTCTAGAGAAATGTCCCTTTAGTGAAGGAGTATAAAGATTTGTGCTTTTTCTTCGACATTGTAAGATTCTGGTCTTGCTGTTTTCATTCGTATATTAAGTTAAACAAGCAGAATTCCCAAAAATAAATAAATAATCAATAATCAATAATAAAAATAAAAATCCTGAAGAGGTAAAGTTTAGAGGATACTTTTCCTAATTGTCTGGAATCTCCCTTGGCTATGCAAGACTACTCTCTAATGCTAGCTTAGTAGTACCTTGTACTAGTTCAACTACAGGCTTGCTGGTACGTTGATGACATGATGAAAAGCCAATTGATGTAAAGGTCATTGTACAGTATTAAATGCAGTCTAGTTCGTCTCATTTATTTTGTTAATTCAAATTACAATTAAATTTTTATTATAGTGTTTATTTTATAAAAATTTAAAATTTATTTTTTTTAGTATTTTTTTTTACATTAATTTACTTTTTAATTTAAATTCTCAATTCAAACCGAACAAACATGCCATATGTGTGTATATAATATTCTCGAGGGATACGTCACGGTTTGGTTACCAGGAGAGTATTGTCAGCACAATAGTCTTTTTTTTTCTTCCACTCCCTGGATGTGTAATGGATCTCTTCAAGAATCCTAGCCGGTGCTTTTTTTTTTTTTTTTTTTTTTTTTTTTTTTTACTTTAATAAAGACAAAATCTTCATTTAGCCAAGATGAAATATTACAACTATGAAACAAAAATTGAATACCAATACCAAGATTAAGAGGATGAAACTAATAATTAGAATTGATTGATAAACACTAACAATTGAGTGGTTTCTTGCATTTTTACCCTCTGAACTTCTCGGGTTTGGACAATTTGCTCTTCCAAGCTTTTAATTTTGAGACTCTATCCCTCAACTAGTAAAAAGCCGTAGCAACATGCCTTATTTTATCAATGGCTTTTAAATTAGGGAACAAAAAAGCCAACACCACCTCACGTAAGCACAAAAAAAGCTCACCTTCGACAAAAAAAAATCTCCAAAGTCTCATTTCAAATCCGAGCACAAATTACTTGAATATATCTTAAATGAACTCCCAAATCCAATCTAGAAAAGGTAAAACACATTGCATGATTTTACAAGTTTGACGAGTGCAACACTAAAATTAAGTGGACGTTTGATTCATGGATTTAAAACTATGATTCAGAACCATTCTCATTTTACGTGTATTTTTTGTGAGAGAAGAATATTTTTTTTTATTTATAATAAAAATCCTAAAACATTAAATCCTCAATCTGAGTTGAGGGATCAACAATCCTATAATAAAATTTAAAAATCCTAGAAGAGTATGGTTTTGTTTCATTTATTTTATTAAAGTGCAACATCCGATATTATCTTGATATTTTTCTTTTGCTATCAAGTTTAGCTCCTACTCGCCGTCCCCTTTTGCAAGCACAAAAGCAGACAATTTTAATACAAAAGGGGGGTCATATTTTGTTTTTTGAAAGGATAATTCAAAGGGACATCGAAAAAGGGAAAGGGAAAAAGGAAAAGGAAAATGGGAGTGGATGATGATGGCTATCATGGCTTGCAACGCAACCTTTTAACCCAAAGGTTTCACCACATGAACTTTCCTAAATGCATTCGAATATTTTTGAATCTTTTTTCCTTCTTTAACGGTCAATTGAAATTGCTTCTGATTCCCATGGAGGGTGTCATTGTCGTTCCCTTCGACGCATGTTTCCAATGAATTCATAGAATCATAAGAATATCTCTTCAATGAGGAATTTATGAGATGACCATATTCCAGATCATTTGTCTTCAAAAATTTCAATTCCGTCTTCAAGGGCATGTTTATATTTTTGTTTTCACATTTATATTATAAGTTTCGAAACTAAGCACTACTTGTGCATGTGCATAAACAACGACAGGAAAAACTCTTAAGCTGTGTTTGGCTAGGGAGAAATGAATTAGAAGCAAGAAATCTATATAACCTAAGAAATTCGGAGTGCTGCGAGGAATTTTAAATCTGTCGCCGAATACGTATTCACTCCTCAAATCCCTCCAACCAAACAATTCATGTACTACATTTGCCACCCAATTATTCCTTCCACTTTTTTCACTAACCAAACAAGGCCCAAGTCTTTAATAATCCCTAACATATCGGCTTTTGCATGCTCAGTTTTGGTTGTCTGGCCAACCAAAAAGAAAATTAAAACAAATAGTTAGGCAATATAGGAACAAGGAACTAATGCTTTGAATTATTCACGAGAGGTGTACTTAATCATCACGTAAGTAATGCACAGTTAAAGCCATTACTGATCTCCTCTGACTACTCCATTAGAGAGTGATTGAATAAGGACATGCATAAAATACACTCAACCTGATCAAAATCTTAACTTTGTGCGAAAATATTTTGCTTCTTTTTCTTTTTTTCCTGGGGCCTATTTTGGTTGTCTGCATTCTGGGATACTGCACAAAGTAGATTTAGCAGCACAGCAGAGTGTATGTGTGTGTCTATATATATATATATATGTATGTATGTATGTATAATATTTCTGAAGAAAGAAAAATTAAATAAAAACTAATAATGTGTTGCACGTAACAATACAAGGATCCGTCAATATCTCTTTATGTGAAAAACAGAACTGACATTCGACAGACAAACTGTCATTAGCGCTGTGACATAACACTGGATAACAAAAGATCACACAAGTAAAGAATCCGCATATGTAAATTACATAAATAAATTTAGATTAATATATATATATATTTTTTCTGTATTTCATCACCCGTTTGTCACTGTTCCGTTGAACTTGAATCTATAAGTACATTGAAATCCCTGATAACTGTCAAACTGAGATACTTCCCTCATCATAATAATAAAGTTAGAGAGAGTGTGTGTGTGTGTGTGAGAGAGAGAGATGATAAGTTGGGGGGGACCGAAAATTGAGAAGCTGAATGGAGCACACGCTGAACCCACAAAACAGTACATACTCTGAATATATTGTAGTTTGAAATGACATATGAGGAGACCTTTTGACTGCTCTCTATCTCTCTCTCTCTCTCTTTCTCTCTCTCTCTCTCTCTCTATCTCTTAAAGTAACAACTAACAAAGCTGCCAACAAGATCTATTACATCCCTTCCCTTCAAGTTCCAACCTTTGCAAAGAAAGAATATAAACAAACAATGTTGTATATCACTACTGCTATAATTGCACATCCATATATCTTTCTTTTTTTTTTTTTCCCTCACTCTTTCTCTCTCTAAAGCTAATCATTTGATTTTCATTTTTATAATGAATCTAAACATAGTTTATGATCTGTCCATCAATATTTAACTCTTGCCCAGCACAAACCAAGATAGATTGCATCATTTGCACTGAAAAAAAAAAAAAAAAAAAAACCTGTGTATTTCACTGATTATTATCATTCACACATATATGATCTATCTATCCATGATCTGTCTCCTTGGATATTATCATTGATCTCTATTATATTTCAAACATAGACTCCTATACAAAGGAATTATATTTTGACCACGTAAACAAATAGTATATAACTAACAAACAAACATCCGCGTGGGGCATATTGGCCATGCAATAATAAGAACTCTCTTTATGCACACCAAAACAATCTTGACACTGCTTAATATCTGACAAGAGTATAATAGTTGGTCAAGAAATATAGCTGCACTGAAAAAATTATAAAATATAAATTATGTAGTCCTAAGTCTGACTTTTTCTTTCATATAATTCTCATTTAATCAACTACGCAAAGATATTATAGTTTTCAAACTTCATACATATATACAATTAAGTCCTACCAAAAAACTCCATCCATTAATGCGTGAATGCATGTGTGATTTACCAAAAAGAAAAACATTGATCATATCCACTGAAAGAAGTGCAACTGCCATGAAGATGTAAACAAAAAAAAAAAAAACACAAAAAAAAAAAAACAAAACAAAACAAAAAAAGTGATAGAGAAGGGAAGAAATTAATTGATCACATATATAAAGCTAAAGTAGTTCTGCTCCTTTTTAATGATGTTCTCTCTCTCTTTAATATGGATTGAAACTCCTATTTGTGGAGCCATACATGATCTTCAGTATAAGCTCAAACATTAAAAAGATATATATAATTCCATAAAAATTCTTCAGAGCTGATCTAAATAGAAAGAGCCAGTAATGAGCCACTAATACTAGCTAGCTAGTTAGGAGAAATGTCAACATTGATCATGAATCAATAATATGATGATCTTGCTCAATCTCTGAGGCAGCTTCGTCGTCTTCATGGTCGAAACAGTCGACGCCGTAAGCGGCATGGCCATTCCCAAAGGCCTTGATGTGGTCCTTGAGAGACCTCTTGTGCTTGAAGTCGGAGCCACAAGAGCAGTACCAGAGCTTCCCGCAGTTCTTCTCGTGGGTTCTCCAGTCGCCTCTGACGGCGAAGGCCTTGCCACATTTGCGGCACATAAAGGGCTTTATCCCATGCTTCCTCTTGTAATGAGTTTGGAGTGTTCTGAAGTCCTTTAGCGGCCTTGATCGAGGATGGTCTATGTTGTTCCTGCAACCTGGGGCGCAGCAAAAGCATGGCAGCCTAAGCATTGCTGTTGGTTGTGTTCCCCTTAGTGACTCTGGCCCTTTTCTGTATTGTGATCCATGCCCCCACATATGCATCTATAACATATATTATACATTACACATATTGTGATCAACATATAATATATAATGTGCGTTGAATATATGTTAGTCACATTAAGAATCCGAAAGAGCATTTTTTCAGATTCATTCATAGAAGATGTCAAAGTCAGCCAAGAGTTTCCTATAATTCAAGGCGGCAAAAAAAAAGGAAAAAAAAAAAAAAAAAAACTAAACTGAAAATTTCCTATATGTGATCACACAAGGCATTAATCTGATTTTTTTTAGGAGGTTCTTTCTCTTCATACTTAAGGAATAAAAACAAGAAATTGGAATGTTTCTGCATGGTATACATATGCAGGTTAGCAACTTTGTTCGGCCACAAAATTTTAAATTTTTTTTTTCCTTTTTCAGACAAATTCCGCAGGAAAACAAATGTATGTTCTCTTTCTATTGTCATTCCTCAATTGTATGAGTTTGGTCTAAAAACAGGTGGGAGACAATGTGGTTCTTGGATATAACAAAGAGCTAAAACTGGGTATTGATCATGTACAGAAACATTTATTCATGGACGACAAACTATGCAGTTGGTGATTTTGGCAATAAGTACTATCAGTTGGATTTTTATCTCAAGCTGAAAGATCTTTTTTTTTTTTTTTTTCATTTTTTCCCCTAGGGCTCTGATGAATATCATCATCTGAAGCCTGTAAGAAAACTGTGATATCTTCGGTTTCACGCACCAGCAAATGTGTAACAACACAAACTTCAAGGTGCAAAGCATAAATGTCTGTGTAGTTCTTTTTCATGACCAGAATAATGGCTGTGTTGTTCAATCACAAAAAGTAAGCTAATTGGCTTGGACCAGGAAATGTAGATTTAGTCTTGTTTTTAAATCCCAAAGCCCACAAATCATGCAGAAAAGAGAGAAAATTAAGAAAAGGTTGGGACTACGGGAAGAAAAATTTTGCAAGAAAAATAATCAAAAGTGCCAAACCAAATGCATATATATAATAAAATACGAAAAGGAAGTGTGATTAAAGTAGCATAAAGGGAAAGAAAAAAAATAAAACGCTAAGGACCCATATCCAACTTTCATCTCATTAGTCCAGCGTATAATAAAAGTTAAAGACTAATCAATAAGCTATAGGTAAAGAAAAGCAAAAATAGGAACAAGTTTTCTCTTTTTCAGCGAAATCAAAAGGAAAATTAGAAAGTGACGAGAGAGAGAGAGAGGAGAAAAAAGGGAAAGAGAATATATATTGGGAACTATTGGGAACTAATAATTCACTTTTTTTTTTTTTTAACTCTAATATCTATCTATATTTGATCATCTCTATACTTGATTTATATAATAAGAAAGCCACAAACCATGTATACATAGACACACACACACACACACACACACATATATATATATATATATATTATGTTTTATATACCTGCATGTTATTGTATCTGTTGAAGGTCTTGAAGCAAAGAGGGCATGAGAACTGTGTAGGACCAATCAGAATCTGAGCAGGGGTAGGGATCCAATACTGGCCCTTGTTGAGGCTGTTCGAATTATACCCAGAAGAAGTAACAGAGCTGAGATTATGATCTTCGGCTTCTTTATCAGAGATCTCAGTGGAAGAGAGCCTTGAGATCAAATCAGCAGAAGCACTACTAGGGCTTGGAAGCCCTAAATGCAAAGCAACTGTAACCGTTTCTTCATGATCATGATCGCCAGTAGTAATACTGCTGCTGATCACTACTTCTTCCTGATCCTTAATCTCTTTGCAGATCTTGTGATGATCATCATCCATAATTTCCACGATATTATTGAAGGAGGAGGATTCTTGGCCGTCGTGATCTTGATCACGGTGATCATGATGATGGTGATGATATCTCGTGGGGCTTAGGCTGAGTAGAGGAAGAGCTTCTTTGAGAGGAGGAGAAGGAGGTCGAATAATATAGTTGTTGTTGTTGTTGTTGTTGTTGTAGATATTGTTATTATAGTAGTTATGATAAGAAGGGAAAATAGGGTTAAAATTAGAAGTACTGGAAGAAGAGAAGTAGTGGTGGTGATATTGGTGATATTGATCATGGTGAACTGGGTTGAGATTCAACCAACCATTCAAGTGATTATTAGAATATGGATGATCAGTCATGATAGAAATTGGAAGGGGTGGGGAGGACAAAGTGGGTTGGGTAGATGGGCTTATGTTATTATAGACAGACACGGAACAAAGAGAAAGGAGAGAGAGAGAGAGAGAGGAGAGAGAGAGGTGACCAAAAAGTTAATAGGGTGAAGGATTGAACAAAATCACCAAATTGAAAGAAGTAGTGTGAGGAGGAAGGGGAAAAAAAGGACGTCTATACAAAATCAAGGGGTGGATAAAGTAGAACCCTATTGAGTAAAAAGGAGAGACAAGATATCACTTGTGTGCGTTGTGACTAAACAGTGCAGAAAATATGCTCAACTTAGAGAGAGAGAGAGAGATGTGGAAGTGGAACCATGTGGTTGGCAGGACAGGAGTACTACTGAGATTATCTTGGGAATTAGAGAGAGTTAATTACTTATTAAACCACATGTATTAGACTGACTGGATCGCTTGTAAAAATATAAATAATAATACTCTCGTCAGTCAGTAACTCATTAGTAAAGAGTTCAAGAAGTAAGTCAAATACTTTGAAAAATTAGTAGGCCAATTAGGGAAATTAATGCTTAAGACCAGGGCCTAAATTTAAACAAAGGGATCTGTAATTAAGAAAGTAGGTTAATTTGTCCCCATAACCACAATCCAAATTTCATTCCAATTCACGCAATGGGAAAGAGAGAAAAGAGTGATTGGACTTTTACCCAAAATCACACTTTGAAATGATCAGCAAGCAGATCAGACTTCAGAGTTATAGCCCTTGAAGTTTTCTCATTAATACTAACAATTGAGTACTCATGTAGCTTTTTTCTCTTTCATCGGGAATCAAATGGTTTGAATGTTAATGCAAAACCAGCATTTGCTTTGGTGGGCGCGCCCCGGTCGGCATGGTTCACTACCGGCTCAAGGATTGTCCCTTCTTGGTTCTTTCCTTACTCACTGTTTCATATATACCCTTTTTACATTCATACACGCGCGCGCATATATATATATATATATATATATATATATATTAGTATTGCGGTTTGGTAATCACCTATATCTGTGAGGTCATATTTAGACATTCAATCATTTATTAATTTTCAACGATTATAAATACTAATCGGACTTATACAAATAAAGACTCTCTCTTTGAATTTGCCGTCGCTGTGTAGAATCAACTAGATGGCCTGACGTCTTCAAAAATTGCATGCTGAAATCCCTTCGTCTGACAGGTTGTTCTCTCCCGAAAGCTTCAACTTCTTCTCCCAAAGAATGTTAAACGGTTGAACTCCCTTTAACACTTCAAATCATCTTCTCCCGAGGACTATAAATTCTTCTCCCGAAGAACATTAATGGGAACTTCTCAAAACATTATGCGTGAAAACCCAAGAAGCTCACAGATGAATGGTCTTGAGTTTTATTTATAAAACTTATATTCTTTATCTTCACGTTGGCACAATCCAAGTCAAATTTAATTATCTTCATAATTATTTCCACGCTTACTCAAAATTCAAACTATTGCACAATCTGTTCCACGATTTTTTGTAACATTATCTGATCTTGAATTTAAAATCCGAACTCAACAATTTTACTCTGATGATCTTTGTTTTGTCTTCACACGTGTCTTTTGCATATTATCTTTTATAAAAAAATGCACAACCTGAAACTTTTATCTTGCTAAGACTAAATCTTATTTTTAATTGAATTTTAATTCAATGTCTGTTCCACGATTTTTTGTAACATTATCTGATCTTGAATTTAAAATCTGAACTCAACAATTTTACTCTGATGATCTTTGTTTTGTCTTCACACGCGTCTTTTGCATATTATCTTTTATAAAAAAATGCACAACCTGAAATTTTTATCTTGCTAAGACTAAATCTTATTTTTAATTGAATTTTAATTCAATTCAATTTAAACTAGATTACCTCATCAAATCTTCTTAAAAACTTTCACTCCTTGTTTTTTATCTTTTTAGCAGTTTATCTTCTTTGAAATTTATCACTTCATCATGAAAGTCAAATACTTTAATCAGATAAATTTACTCAACATGTCATCATCTTCTCAAACCTATTTTTTAAATTTTCTTAAAAAGCTGTTGTCAAAAATTGCCAACTAAAATCCTAACACTATATATATAAACAGTATTCACTCTTGTTTCCTTTCTCTCTCTTGAATATTGGCTTTGGTATTAGCTCACTGCTCATCCAGCTGAATGCTGATCCCCATGGTAGGCCTTATTTCATTTCCATTGCTTTCGATGCATGGATAGTCAGGATCAGATCAGCCATTAATATATATATATATATACATATATATATATACACACACATATATATATATATATATATATGTATATATATTATATAGACACACATATATAGGTCATTTAAAATGGAATATTGGCTGACGTTCACAGTGCTAGCTATATACGTACGTGGATATTATCTTTACTTATTATTAGACGTTTGACATTGCATTATGTCTTATTATCTGGATCTGTAGTTATCTAGACGAGTAAACAGAAAACTTGTTTCAACTTCATAATATTTACCCGCACAGTTTATAGAGCTAATTAAAAACAAAAGAAGATAAAATACCTTGAATAGACCAATTCATTTCTGAAAAAGTGTTCTTTAGAGCAGTTTCTGAAAATATTTGAAACGGTTAAAGTATAAAACTCCGGATCTATGAAATTTTATGCTTTTGTATAAAATTTTAAAAAATTTTCAGAAATTACTTTAGGCTATTTATACTTTGTTCCGTTATTAAGTTCACAAAGTGCATGCGGATGAAATTTGAATTGATATTTTTAAATTCGAAAAGACCTTTGTAGTCTTTAAAAACAGAAGGATAAATTAAGAAAAAGATTTTAAAAGAAAAGAGTTATATTAATGAAAGTAACCTTAACTTTTATTATTTTCCAAAGGCATGATAACCAACTTGATTTCAATAACGTTGAGATGTAATTATAATTTGAATTCTTTTCACCCACTGATTATTAACAAGAATGAAATAAATAAAAAAAAAGGAAAATTTCTTAAATTTTTCTTTTCTGAAACTGGAAAGTGGAAAAATCAGTTGGAGTTATGGGGGGGAAATTCAGAAGACACAATACGGGGTGAAAATGAATAAACATCACTCAGAGTCAGGGACAAAAGTATTACTGGGAAACAATTTGCCGCAGCCAAACTGGGTAAAACTATATCCACAGCACTCTTTGGCACCTAATGCTATATAGCTACTGTACCTAGATCCTAACTCTATTAATTCTAGATCATGCAATATATCATGATGATGAGAGCTAATGGATGGATGATATTAAAAGTTTGTAAAAAATAGTGGGACCCCCAATAATTATACATATATGTACATAATAAAGCCAAATGAGAGATGAGACTTTACCAATTTGGAGTTTTGTTAGGGATTATTGATGATTGATCATTTTATGGATTTATTAGAATGAATGAAGACAGTTTGGAGGTATTTGGAGTTGCTTTACAAGATAAACGTAAACCGGCGGGAAGAACAATAGTACAACTGTACCAGCAAGAGTATTTAATATTAAAGTGAAGTTAGAAAGCCAATTTATTTCTTTACTCAGGCTGAACGCCTTTTTTGTGTACAGACCAAATAGAAAAAGCGAAAATAGTAGGAAATAGGTCAATATAAAAAATTTAAAAAATTATAAGTTAATTTTTAGTTATAGAAATTAATAAGTCATAATTTATCTAGTAATGATTCATAATCAGATAAATTATAGATAAACTTGTCAAGTTATGGTGACAAGTTATGGATGAAAATAGTAATTTGGCATATTTATTAACTTATGTAAACTATTAACTTATTAATTTTAATTCATCTCAAGTCTTGACTTATTTCTCTCTTTCTCTCTAAAAAAGACCATCCAACTCTAGCTATATAGGGAAAAAATAAATTAAGTTTTTAGTATGAAAACTAATCTTTAACGGGCGTGTGCTTCAGTTAAAAAACTGTTATATAAATTGTTTAAATAATCTAATGCTGCGTGATTTTATTCTATTTTAACGTAATTTTTTAAAATTTTATTTTTTATTTAAATTATTCATAGTATTTTTATATGAGCAGTATAAAAAATTTGATACAAAATAGTGCCAAAACGAATAAAATCAAACCACGAATTAGTTTAAAATTAATAAATAAAGATAATAGTGATAATGATGTCAAAAAACTTTTCGCATTAGGTTGGCCTCGCCACTAACTCGCAAGCACGACATGTGGCCTCGCTATGGGGCACCTTCCACCACGTGTGATCCAGTGCGGTCCGCTCCGTATGAGATTCTTTTTTCAGCCAATAAAACGATGGCACGTGGCAATCTAAATCAGCGAGCGTATCATGTGTCGCCACGTGAATTATACTAGAAAAACTAATTAGTGACTGACGTGTAGCGATTTCAGAAAAGATTAGCGTCCAAATACTTTTCTTATATATAAAAAAGAAAAACATTTTCTCAAGTGAATTGTGGGGGCAAAATAGTCAAAACTTTTCATCCGACCTCCCCCCACAAAAAAAAAAAAAGAAAAAGAAAAAGATCCACCTTTAGTAATTAGTTTTAGATATAAATAATAATTTAAATAACACATAAGACGAGTTTACTAACCAAGAATTCAATTTCAAGAACGGAAATCAAATTCATAATTTTAAATTCTTATGTTGACTTTTGCATTTGGTAATTGAATGATTACACGGGTTCTACCTATAAATAAGGAATTAAGTTCCTTGATATCACACCTGGGCCACCTCCTACCTACGAAATTTAATTCATTTGCTTAATAAATAGGAACTAACGAGCTATTTACCAAATTACCCTGATTTAAGTTAGTTATTCACTTAAAAGAATAGTATTTTTTATAAGTACATTTATTATATTCTTATTCCTTTTAATTTTTATGTAAGTAAACAACATAATAAGAATTTATTTCCCCTTCTAAACACTTTAATAGAGTTCTGAAATTTAATTTCATGGAACTTAGTTTCCTTTTGCTTGAAATTTATTTCATTTTTTTTTTTTAATTCCTGATTAGTAAACTCATCCATAGAACATTGCTAGTACCGAGTAAATTAGTCCAAATTTGGTCAAAGTAAATAAAGTTATTTTATAATTCGGTAGCATCATCGATAAAGGCTAGCTATATATCAAAGGCTTTAGATTTTGTATATGTATAAAAAAAAAAAAAAAATGCTACTAAGGATTATAGATCCTTTATTTATTTACAA